TTTCTACACCCTGAAAAAAACTATCAAAAAGACAAGAAAAATAATCCCTTTATAATTACATCAAAAGAATAAAAAATACCGAGGAATAAATGTAAACAAATTGAAATGCTTGTATGTACACTGAAAAATACAAGACTTTGATGAAAGAAATTGAAGAAAACACAAGTGAATGGAAAGGTATTCCATTCTCATGAATTGGAATAATAAATATAAAAATGCCTACACAATCCCAAGCAATCTACAGATTTAGTGCAGTGTCTATCAAAATCCCAATGATATGTTTCAGAGAAATAGAATAAACCATTCTAAAATTCATACAGAACAATCAAAGACTCCAAATAGTCAAAGCAATGTTGAGAAAAGAACAAAGTTGGAAGCACCATGCCTCCTGATTTCAAACTATGGTACAAAGCTGTAGTAATCAAAACACTATGGTATTGGCATAAGAACAGACACATCAATCAATGGAACAGAATAGAAAGCCCAGAAATAAACCCATGCATATATGGTCAGCTAATTTACAACACATGAGGCAACACTATTGAAGGAGCCTCTTCAATAAAGGTTTTGTGAAAATGGGCCACCACTTACAAAAAATTAAACTGGACCACTATCTTACATCACATACATAAACTAACTCAAAATGGATTCAAGACTTGAACATAAGACCTGAAACAATAAAATTTCTAGAAGAAAACATAGGTGGTATGTTCCTTGAGATCAATTTTGGGGATGGTTGCTTTTGGATTTGACACCAAAAGCTCAAGCAACAAATGAAAGAACAAGTGGGGATACACTGAACTAAAAACCTTCTGCACGTCAAAGGTAACCATCAACAATTCATGTCACTCAACAGCAAAAAACCCTTTTATTTAAAAATGAGCAAAGAAGCTGAATAGACATTTTTCCACCGAAGACATTCACGCGGCCCACAGGCACATGAAATCGTGCTCAGTCATCAGTCGTCAGGGGTAAGCAAACCTGGACCACAGTGGCAGACTCCTCACGCCTGTTAGAACGGCTGGTATAAGACAGGAAGTAGCGAGTGTTGTCAAGGGTGTGGGGAAAACTAACCCATACGCACTGTTGGTGGCAATGTGAACTGGTGCAGCCACTGTGGAAAACAGTGTGGAACTTTCTTTAAAAATTAAAAATTGCCCTGGCTGACATAGCTCAGTGGATTGAGCGCGGGCTGTGAACCAAAGTGTTGCAGGTTCGATTCCCAGTCAGGGCACATGCCTGGGTTGCAGGCCATGACCCCCAGCAACCGCACATTGATGTTTCTCTCTCTCTCTCTCTTTCTCCTTCCCTTCCCTCTCTAAAAATAAATAAATGAAATCTTTTTAAAAAATTAAAAATAGAACTGCTGTATTATCCAAAAATTCCACTTTGGGGTGTTAATCTAAAGGAGACGAAAACACGAACTGAAAAAGATACTTGCACCTTTCGTGTTCATTCCAGCATTATTTACAATAGCCAAGATGTGGAAGCAACCAACAAGTTCATCAATAGATGAGTGGGTGAAGAAAACGTGGGACATACATGGAGTGGTATTTTATTCATGCATAAAAAAGAAGGAAATCCTGCCATTTGTGACAACGTGAGGACCTTGAGGGCATTATGCTAGGTGAAATAAGGCAAATACAATATCTGCTCACTTACATGTGGAATTAAAAAAAAAACCCAAACCCCTAACTCATAGATACAGAGAACGGGTTGGTGGCTGCCAGGGGCGGGGGATGAAGGTGGCCAAAACCTACCAACTTCCCGTTATAAAATAATAAGTCCTGGGTATGTAATGCACAGCGCGGTGACTATGATTAATAAAGCTGCATTGCATGTTAAAGTTGCTAAGCAGATTGAAAATTCTCGTAAGAAAATATTTTAACTATGTATGGTGAGGGGTTAACGAGCCTTATGGTGGTGATCGTTTCAAAACATATACAAATATCAGATGATGTTGTACACCTGACACTAATACAATGTCACATGTCTACTAGAGTTTAAGTAAGTCTTTTTAAGTTAAAATCTTTAGAAATATTTTTAAAGACAGTGTAGGTCCAGAAAAGCTAATCAGAAGACAGCGAAAGGACCAGCAAAATGGGATGTTTGTGTGTAAAACAGAAAGCCGATTTCTCCCGTGGGCCTGCTGCCCAGGTTGCTCCAGGCCGCCCCTTAGCGTAGGCCCCGGGTGAAAAGGCCCGTCGCCGGCTCTTCACACACTGGACAAGGCCACACTGGCGGCTTCTGTCAAGGACAGAACAAGAGGAAACGACCTTCCTCAAAAAGAGGGGGCGTGAAGGTGAGAGGGAACTGGCCCTGAGTGACCTCGAGACACCGCGAATGACCTGTGGTGGCCCCCCAAGGCTGCTGGGGCAGGGGCAGAGCCACCTTCACGAGGGATTCTCTCCCCGTGCCAGGAATGAGCCCGCTGGCACCCAGCAACTTGAAAAAGATGCTTCGTCTCAGACCTCCTAACCTCCCTCCCCAGCCGCGAACTGCCTGCACTTGAAGTTGCATGAGAAGCCCATGTTCTATTGCTGCATTTCAGGGGTTATTGGCAGAGGGGGGAGAAGGAGGTGCAGGGACATAAGCAGATCTCCCTGGCTGGTTGCCTTTAGCAGATTTATTTATGTAGTGCTCTCCCTTCCTTAGAAAAAGTTCCATAAATAGCAAGGAAGGGGACGACTGGATTGCAGCGAGCCAGCTAGCCTGCACCGCTTCACGGAGGAAGAAGGGAAGCCACTCCGAGGCCCACTGCTGCTGTCCTCGGAGAAGCTCTGGAGGGCGGCCCCGGACGGCCAGTACCCAGGGGCGCAGGGAGGCTTCCTGGGAGGAGGGCGCAGGGTGTCGTTTCCTGCTGGAAGGGTCCCCTGGGGGAGGGTTTCCCCAAAACACCTACCACCAGTCCTTTGCGGTATCCGGTTAGTCTTCCTGGACAGGTCAGACAAGCAGACGGGAGAGGCTGGAAGCCGCCACCACGGGACTGGCGCGGCGAGAAGGGCCCGTCCTTGGCCTGTGCAAGTTGTCCTCCCGCCGCAGGGTGGAGCTGGAGAGCACGGGCCGGGCCCCGCGCAGGCCGCCTCTGCCCCTGCGCATGCTGCCTGGCTCCTCCCCCGAACCATCAGCTGCCCTCCTTGGAGCCCCAGCATGCCCCACCCAGTGCTGCTCACGTGCTCTCGGAGGCCCCCTTTACCGCACTTACACGCTGCAGTGTTAATTGGGGGGCTAAGACCATTTCTGATTTAAAATGATCCGTGTCTCGCCCTCTGAACCTTTTTCGCATCAAAGAGCGCACAGAAGATTGTAATGATCATACTTATGCGGTGCAAGAGGCGGCTCGTTCAAAAGATGACTGTCTCAGCACGCCTCTGACAACGCATTCAGAGCTCAAACACACCAGTGTGAGAAGCTCCGCGGAAAAGACCAGCCCTTGGTGTTGGTGGAGAGAATGGGCCAGTCTGTTTACAGGATTAAGAGATATCTAGAATTAGGCAAAAGAAGATCTTGGAAATCAGAGAAAGGAAGGGTCGTGTAGAAGCAGCAGAACTAAGACTGAACAGGGCCCGGGGCAGAAGGAGAAGGTGGCGGTGGGGGGGGGGGGGTTCCTCCAGCACGGGACTCGGTTCCCAACTCGCCCCTTCACCCCTGCTTTGCCCGCCCTGGACTGCCCAGTGAAGTCCCGCTGCTTGCTGCCCCCTGGGAGTCCCCCGCTGCCCCCTCAGCCTCTGCATTGGCCTCTCTCTCCACCATGCCACCACCTGGAGGACAGCTGCCCATCTCGAAGGCTCACGGGGGACCCCTTCCACTGGAGTGTCCTGTCCACTCCCTCTGGGCGCCGGTGTCTTCTGCCTCGCAGCCCTATCGTTGTGCCTGTCCTCACCGTTTCTTGTCTGAGTGACTTCGTTTTTCTTCTGTCCTTTCAATGAAACCTGAGTTTCACGTGGTCACAGACTGAGGCTTCCTCATTGCAGTTTCCTCGCCTTCCTCTGCAACAGGTACTCAGTACACGCACGTGACATTGAACGGAATGTCCCAAGTGGCTGTGGGGACATCGGGCTTCTGAACAGGGAGATGGTGTGGGGGGCGGGGCGGGGGAGTCTCAGCCTGTGTATGGTAAACTGAGTCAGAACACTTTTTTATACCCGGGATCCATAAATCAGACTGGTGACCCTATTCCAAAGAGAGCCAGACCCACTATCCCCAAGTTATTGAACTGAAACTTGGAGATGGCAGGTTGCCCTGCAGGCCTGGGCTTGGCGCCGGACCCGAGGAAGGACCCGAGAGGAGCAGACCCCGGGGGGACAGAGGGCCCCAGCTTCACTCAACAGAAGGGGCCCCCTGCTGAGCCTCAGGGGGGGCGGGGAGAGAGGAGGACAGGGGTGAGGCGTTCAGGGTGCCCCTGCCAGTCCGCACCCCCCAGGGGCATCCCAGGGGTCAGTCCCAAGTCACAGCTTGCTTCCAGGGGTGCAGCCTCTGAAAGGCTTCCTGGGAGCAAGTAAATAAACGCTGATCTCCTGACGGCCCCTCACTCACTGGAGATTTACCACCCCGAGCCCCAGCCGGGGGGCAGCGCTGTGGGGGGCCCTGTGGTCACACGGCGTTGGAGTCGAGTCCGGTCAACCCGATCCGAGACTGTCCCGCAGGCCTGCGGTCCGCAGCGCTCCCATCCTCTCCCAGTAACTCTCCCGACAGTGGGGCTGTGGTCGGAGGGAAAGACTTTTCACACTTTTTGCATTTAAGGGTAATTCTTATCCCCTCTCAGCGGGCCCTCTCTCCTGTGGCTCTCTGTGGAGCCACTCCCATGTGGACTTGGAGAGCGGTTCACCATTGTGACAAGGGACTGCGTCTCCCCCTAGGCCCTCCTTGGTAACACCCCAGGCTCTGCTGCCTCTGCCTGTCTTTGCTTTAGAGTTTGGAGAGTGGATGTATTGCCATGACATTGCTGGAAGTTTCCAAGTTCCCAGGTGACTAGCGGCATGTGCCCTCTTCCCCTACAGGCGCAGAGGACGCACAGGAAGTGCCCTAAGCCCAGCGGAGCCCGCCACCCCTCCGAGCAGGAGCCTGCCTGCGCGCCTTCCCCGAGCTCCTCCACGCTGAGCAGGCCCCCTGGCGGCGGCCGGCGGCCCTTCCAGGACAGCCCATCTCTGGGGCCCAGCCAGCCAGTTCTGCCTGCGCCGCACCAGCAGGAACTGGCCGGACGAGCCGGCAGCGCCCCCGGCAAGTCCGTGTTTCAGAGGAGCAAGTCCTTGTTCTGTTTGCCCACAGAGGACCCATCCACAGCCCGCGCGGATGTCCCGCGGAGTCGGTCAGGCACAGGTGTCCCAGGGCACTGGGCACCAGAGTGGAGACACGGCCACCTCCTCTCCATCGACGACTTAGAGGGGTCCCAGGAGACGGACGTGGACACGGGCCTGCAGCTGTCTTCCTCGGACCTGTCCGTGGTCTCTGCCTACTCTGCACCCAGCCGGTTCTGCGGCGCCTGGGAAACGCCCGTCCCCTCCGAGGGAGGCGGCGGCCACTGCTCAGAGCACAAAGGTGCCAGAGCAGGACCGCTGCCCACTGGGAGTGGGGTGACCACGGAGACCCCCTGGGCTTCCCTCCCTCTCTTCACCAAAGGGCCTTCGCGCTCCCTGGCGACAGGGGTTGCTGCTCCCCCAGCTTCTGGCGCCGCCTCACTCACAGGGTCGGCCTCAGAGCGCCCTGGAGGTGTTCGCAACACCCAGCGGACTGGCAGAGACTATGCCCCGCCCCCAGCACTGGCTGGACCCGGGGACAGTGACACAGAGGAATTTTACATCTGAACACCCTCTACTCTGGTTCTTTCTCAGACACAGCTCGGCTTCCCCAGGTCTGTCTGGAGCCTAATTCTCTGATTCATCGGGCCGTTAGCACCCCTGCCATGCCCCCCCTTCTAGGGACTGGGTGGGAAGATGCTGGCATTTTTATGCAAATAAATCCTCAAGCTTAAGTCGTAAAATATATTTTTAGAATACTCAATACCACTTGAGAGATGGTGTAGTGCGTTTATACAATTCAAGGGCTTCATACAATTATTTGCAATGAAAAGAAAACCTAGTCAGCCAGAGCTGATTTGGCAGTTTTTCACGCCGCGAGGGGGGAACAGTTAAAGCCAAAATGTCGAACGTGGGAAAGACACTGACTGCGTGAGAAATTAATGCACAGTAACACACTGTACAGCAGGCTGGGTCTGGCAGCCAGACCCACGTGACCAGCGCACGGCGACCCCTAGGAGTTCCCAGGCAGTGCGCGCAGCGGAAAGGGCGGCTCGCTAAAGCAGCTGGAAACACAGATCAGCCTCCAGTCGTAGCTCAGGCCTCGCAACATCTGCAAATCCGGGTTTACACTGAAGTGGCTCATGTGCTTTATAAGCATTTAGCACGAGTAGAGAGTTCTCCTGGTGCATTTAAATAACGTTTTGAGTCCCCAAAACTGGATGGGCGTTCACCTGCTCGCAACACACGCACCATAATGAGTGCGGACCCAGAGAAGATCCCTCCGCCACCTGCTTGTACTGGGCTCACTGAGGAGTGGTCGCTCACTGAGATTCCAGAATGATGCGGGATTTAGACAGCATGGAGAGGTGGTCTTAGGGTTCTTCAGTTTTAAAACCTGCAATCGAAGGGCTGTGTATGTTTCATCGATATAAGTGGCAGGAGCCACATTTGATACTGCTTTCTCCAGTAAACAGGCGTGGCCACCCTGCCTTTTTCACTTTTCAAGACTGTGTAACATTGTAACCAGCGTTTTGGTGGCAATAAATGTCCCTTCTGCGAACGGGATGCTGGGCACGAGATGCTCCCTGCACACACACCACCGGGGTGCTGGCCTTGCACCAGTGCGCAGGCGCAGGCGCCGTCCCTGAAGCCCGAGCTTCCTCCCAGCCTGGGGCCTTCCGGCCCGTAGCCTGCCTCAGTCACAGTGTGAGTGGCGGTTCAGCCTCGCCTCTCCCCGACTCCAGCAGGGTGTGTAACAGTCCCACCCTCCGCAATGCCCACGGCAGCCTGCGGGGGCAATACCCAGCCATCCCGGTGGCTGTTACCTCTGGGGAAGAGTGTGTATTTGCCTTGCTCGTTTCAGATCCGGTGCTCCTTGTTGCTCCTTGGTGCTCTTTGATGCTCCTTGGTGCTCCTTGCCCATATTACTCACAGCCCATCTGCACCTCTCAGGAAGTGCCCACCCAGCCCAGGCACAGCCTCGGAACCCTCCCCGCACGGCCCTCCAGGGAGCCGTTTCCAAGCCTCGGACTCACACCGAAGCCTCCGTCTTGGCCAGCCCTGCCAATGAAAGCCTTAGATCTTGCCCCAAACACCCTGGATTCCAAATTACAATAGTCCAGTCCAGTTTAAATAAATAAAAACATGCAATTCCAGAGGTGAGCAAACTTTTTCTGTAAAGGGCTAGATAATAAATATCGAAGCTTTGCCACCCTGATGGTCTCTATGGTAACTACTCAACGCTGTCATGATCACAGGAGAGCAGCCGTGGACAATAGTAAAGGAGTGGGAGTGGCTGAGTTCCAATAAAACTTTATTTACAAGAGCAGGAGGAGGGCCTGATTGGGCTCAAGAGTTGCAGTGTGCCAATGCTCCGGCTAGATCGAGGCTGGTTTAAGACTCCAGCCACAGTCCGAGACAGAGAATCCAGGTCTGCGGCCCCTGCCCCTGTGGTGCATGAGGCCAAGACGGCTGTGGGCTCCTCAGGTCGTGCCAGTGACTCCAGACCCCGCAGGGAGGGGCTTCCTTCTGCCAAGAGGACCCCTGGAAGGCCACTAGCTGCCCACCTCCTGCCCAGAAACGGACTCACCATCAGTGACTGTGAGGAACAGCAAGAGGCCCACGTGAGAGAGGAGGAAAGAAATAACGTGGGGACGATAGCTCGGCCTCCAAGGGCCAGGAGTGGGGGGCATGCACGGGAGCAGCAAAACTCCACGAGGCAGAAACGAGCGGACCAGCTGCCGAGGGATGGCCCCTCCCATCGTCACTCTCAATCAGCGGCTTAGTTCAGTGTCCTGGGGTGGACCCCTAGAGCTGCCTTACAGCCCACCTCCGGGCGCACCTAGAACTGCTCTCTGGTCCCACCCTTCTTCAGAGGCCCACCCTCAGCTGACCCCGAAGGACGTCAGCAGCACCCAGCAGAAGCAGAAAACGCAAGGTGCCCCGTAACCCAGAGGGAAGGGAAGCCCAGCACACACCGCAGTGGGGGCCCTGCCCTGCCCTGCCCTCCGGTGCCACGGTCGGAAACGGCAGCCACTGTGTGGAGAAGGAACCGCGGGACGGACACATTCCTTCCATTTCCGGTCACACACCAGCCTCTCCCTCGTCCGGGGGTGGGGGGGGGGGGCTCCTGACCCCCACGGGCGGATCTGACTCTGGGGTCGCCGGTGTTGGGACGGACGCTGGCACCCTGTCGGTGCTCAATAAATGTGTTCAACTTAAAAACATGGCAGTTGCCTCAAATTCTCTGTCTCCTGGATTCGGCCCCGTGACACAGCCCATCTAGATTTGAGCCCTGATTTTTCATCATTTATCGGAACCCAGGCTCCTCTCCTTGGCCTCGCACGTGCCCCGGCTGGCCCTAGGGCTCCCCCTAGCGGGAGCCTTTGTGTAGTTCACAGCCCACCCCTTACTCGCCTCTTTTCCACAAAAGGTCCCGCAACATCACTGCTCACGGCTCCACCGCGGCGCCTAAACACCACCTAGTATCTGCTTTCAAGATCACACATTTTTTCAGGGCAGTCCCTGGCTGACCTGTGGCCCCTGGGTCACCCATGGAGGTGCAGTGGGGCCCCCAAAGAGGCTTCTGTGATGCCGAGAGGGCTGGTGTGCGGCTGCACCGATGGGCTGTGGCGCCGCGTGCTTCTGCGGCCCAGGGGCCCAGCGGCAGAGGACGGCCACACGGGAGCCTGTTGGGCTGGACTGTCTAGGACGTTCCAGGTGGGAACAAATGTTTACCGGTATCAGGAGGACATCTGAGTTCATGGCTGATGTCCTCAGCCACAAGTAAATGGGAGAAATGCCGGTATCACCCTATTGCCCTACCGGGCTTTCCGTAGATGAGGCGATTCTCCCATCCATCAGCTAAGAGGTGCCCAAGTAGACTGGCAATTCCTGGAAGAGATTCCTTTTATTTTTTAAGATTTTATTTATTTGCCCTAGCTGGCGTAGCTCAGTGGATTGAGCGCGGGCTGCAAACCAAAGTGCCACAGGTTCGATTCCCAGTCAGGGCATATGCCTGTGTTGTAGGCCATGACCCCCAGCAACCGCACATTGATGTTTCTCTCTCTCTTTCTCCCTCCCTTCCCTCTCTAAAAATAAATAAATAAAATATTTGAAAAAAAAAGATTTTATTTATTTGTTTCTGGAGAGAGAGGAAGGGAGGGGGTGGGGAGAGAAACATCAGTTTGTGAGAGATGCATGGATCAGTTGCCTCTCACACGCCCCCAACCGAGGACCTGGCCCAAAACCCAGACATATGCCCTAACTGGGAATCGAACCAGTGCCTGGAAGAGATTCTTAAAGGCAAATTAACTGCAGAGTCTCTGCCTCCTGAGCCCACTGGACAGTATCAATGGCCGGTTCTGGCAGAGATCCCAGGACTGAATTTCGGGGCTGGTGGGGGTGGGGGAGGAAGAGCTGAGTCTGTCTCCTACCGCCTCTCCGCCCGAGACCCTGGCTCCCTGGGCCTGCCTGGGACTTCAATGCCTCCCTCTGATTCGTAGGGATCCTGGTCTAATCCTCTGTTAATCCGGTTGATAGACACTGCAGAGGCCTGAGAAAACCACAAGAGCAATCAGCCTGGATAAAGATGGATCCCACGAGGAAACACCTTTCATCATGATGATGACAGATGGACTCACAGGGGGTCAAGGACCAGAGTGGGAAGATTTTCATATAATTACTGACGGCTTCTACCGACGGCGTTTTTCTAACCTTGGGCACAGAGGCCTGAATACAAATGACTGTAAATGACATAATTTATCCAAGTGAAGGACAGAGGCAAAAATGAATGGGATGTCAGCACAGCTGGGTCTTTTTAACAGTCCGTTTCCTATTTTAAAAGCGTGATATTGTCCAGTTATGTGGCCACTGTTAGGAGCAATATACTCATTTCAGACAGAAGTCACCAGCAAGAACATTTGGTGAAGCTGAAGAGGCCCCTTCCCCAGACCCCTGGGACGCCCTCCCTAAGCTCCCCACCCCCTCTTGAAACATTGATCTTCTATGCGGCTCATCTGGAAGACGCTGGCTAGATACACCCCTTAGGTCAGCTTTGCCCAGTCCCCAGTGCGTTGTGGACGGAAGCCGTTCAGAACGTGGGATGGCGATGGGAAAGCTTTGGCGCCACCTGGTGGCCGCCGTGCCCCGGAGGGCCAGCAGCTGCCCTTCTTCATTGAAAAAGACTACCTGGATGAAACGGAAGACTTCCGTTTATTATTCTGCCGCTAATTGTTTCTGCAAGGTTTCCAGGCAACTGAAACTGCAATGACACGAGAAAATGCAAGTAGAAGTAGAAAATCGGGGCTAAGAAAAAAGTTTATAAATATGTCAAGCACAAAGGGAAAAGGTAACTGCTATGCATGAATTTCCTAGGAGCCAAAGCTCAGTCCTTTTCATCTGTGAGTAGAGAATCTAGTCCCTGGGACTAGGGCAATCTCTGCCCATCGTCCAGAGATTTGCTTTTAACCTTCATTAGACACGCATACTCTGAGTCCCACTAGGTGTCAGGCAGGGGGCCGAGGGCCTAGGATTGAATGGGAGAAACATAATCTTTCCCTCACTAACCTATAATCACCACTGCTGTTTACCACTTACGTGTAGACTTTATAATATCCCGGATGGACCCAAGGGAATTAACCCCGGCTACAGTTACCTGTGGGGTCTCAGGTTCTGGCCCCTAACAGGTCTGCCTTCCGATGCTGACTCCACCACTCACTCTGTGAACTTAAGGGTAAGTTATTTCACTTCCCTGAGCTCTGTCTTATCGTGTGTAAAATGTGGACAATATTTGAGGGTCATTACAAGAATTAAATTATATAATCTGTGCAAAAGTTCCCACACTGCCTGCCCTGGAGCAGGTGGGTCATCAGGGCTGACATCTCATTCTGCCCTCGGGCTCAGGCACGGCCCTGGGCTCCTCCCAGTGCTCGGTGCTCAGTGGGCAGGGGAGTGCAGGCGGTGCCGCCTCTCAGCCGTCTGTCTGGACAGAATCCCACCTGACAGGACATCCCCGTTCCAGCATCCCACCCTCGGTCTCCCCGGCCTTTCTCCTTCCTCCACGTCAAGGTACCGGCAGCAAAGCCAGGCCTGGGTGCCTCTGACGGCTCAGTGCTGCTCCTCCCAGCTCTCCGGCTCTGAGCGGCCCTTCCCTAGCCACTCCCCCTCCCCACGCACCCCTCAAACCTAGGTGGCCTGCTCCAGGCCTTCACGTAGCCCACCTCTTCCCTGCACCCTCTCCTCTGGCTTTCTGATCCGCCTGCCCCACCTGGAGCCCAGGCTGCCTCTGTAGCATCCGTACCTCTTCCCCTCCGGCCTTCTGTTGCCCCCTCACCAGGTGGAGTTGCAGGTGGAAAGTATCTTTCCACCTGCAGCTGTCAGACAGGCACTGTGCTGAGTAACTCCCCCTCACATCGCCCCTCCACAGCTACTGGACAACTCTCATCTGCTCTTAAAGGTTTCAGCTGTCCCGACCTGTCTCAGCTTTGCAAATGCCCCCTGCACTGCCTGGGTTGGCACTACTCTCAGCAGCGAGCCACGCCCGCTATGCAGCCAGGGCCAGGCCGTCTATTACCCCTTCCGACTCCCTGCTCATCATGGAAGATGTGCCCGCCTCCACTGAGGTAAGTCCTCATTGCAGGAACAAGTACAATGGATTTACTGCCAGGCCCTCTGCCCTTGGAAATGCTCTGACAACTGAAAATGCAACCCGACAAACAACAGAGGACACTGATTGGTGCAGCCCAGAGACTGGCCGTGCTGTTTCCCCTGCAAGAGTTATGTTCCGCTTCCTGCAGAATGAGCCTCCTGGGCCCAATGCCAGTAAATCACCCCACGCCAGGGACTCTGCATTCTCCTCGGCCACAGAGCCAGCTCGGTGGCAGCCCAGGCCTGTGTCCATCACCTGAGCTGGCTCTGCAGAACTGTAGTGACCCCTGTGCTCCTCTGGTCCGTGTCAGAGCCCCCAGCCCTGCCCCAGGCTTTCCAGGAGTGCTTGATCCCATCAGTTTTGTCCTTGCTGGATGCAGTGAACTGGCTGCACCGGTGGAGATGGGCGCTCCTGGACACCTGGCAGCAGGGTCGTGGTTGTGACCCAACCACACGTGACCACCCCTGGGGATCTCCGCCTGGTCACATTTCTGTTCTGGGTCCAACCCAGGCTTTGCCTCAGATTTGCTAAGCACTGAGCTTTTGATTGGGTGCCCCACCTACTGAGGGACATCTCGGTTGTTTCCAGTTGAACAAGCCTGCCGTGGAAATCAGTGTTTAGGTTTTTGTGTGGGTGGACACGTGTTTTTGACTTGTTGGACAAACACCATGATGCAGGAATCCTGGTCTGTGACCCATCACTTTTCTACTTTGCCTATTGCCCTTCTTTCTACCTGCAACTCGGGGGCGGTGCCTGGAGAAGAGTAGCCATCCTTCAGCTCCGAGCAGAGGTGCTCCCTGTGAAGGCACCAGGGCGCACAGCAGCTCTGTGCAGTAGCTGTACCAGCAACGGACCACCCGCATCAGACTTTTTGTTACATGAGAAAGGATATCCCGTTTTGGTCACACTGCTATCTCAGCCCCGCTCAGCCCCAACCAGTCCACAAAGAAGCCTTCTCCATGTTTCTGAAACCACCTGGAATTGGCAGTTTATGGACAAGACTTTGTTCCTGAAATATTTTTAGCCTGGAAACAATGTAGTATGTTTTGTTTTGTTTTGTTTTTCTTGATTGAAATTCCATCCAAATCTGGAATCTTTTACTTTGTTTAAAATACGTTTCCCCACCCCAGTGAATCTCAAAGAACAGAGAAGCGCGTTGCCGGTTTTCATGGTGGGGAGAGGAGAACTAGAGTTCTCTCCTCCCTCATTGAATAACCAGTTGTGGGTGTGAAAACACCATCTGCAATTCGGTACCTGCTGGGCAAAAGACGCGCATTCTGAGCAGAGAATCCATTTGCCTTTATGAGAGGTTTTTTCCCCTTTTTCCTGT